CACTTTTTTCTTTGTCGCTACTTCACTGGAACTGCAACAGAAAAGTATTGTAGTTTTGGGTATCATACATGTTGGATGTATCCGGATGCCCAATTCCCATTTTCAATCACGCATAAAGGCTACTAAATTCGAGTTCGTAAATTCAAGTGTGGGTAACATTTCGTCTTCCGTCAAATGAAGCATAATACAGGTCCATTAACATTTAAACATTTAAAGAACATGGTGAATTTACAAAGGTTTTTAAAAGATTATTACATTGTTTCCTCTGTTATTGACTTTTTACAGCAAGTACCTGGTGTTCAGCCATTCCTAACATGGAGAATAGACACTGTTTTGACCAGCCGGTAATACGGAGAATAGATGCTTGGGTTGTACAAACTAATTAGAAATTTTCTTTTCATTGTTCGGGTTGTACCAACCCAGGAACTGAATCAAAAACAAATTCGCTATTAGTTTTGTTTTGACCAATTCGGTAATTTTTTCCAATATTTGCCCAGCCGAGTAGTGTCCGGAAACATGATATACAAAGATCTCGCCAAAAAATTCGTTTGCTTGCTGAGATTAAGCAAATTATTTTCCAAGATTCTAGAAATGAAACGTCACTTTTGTTATAATCTCAGTTAAATTTGTTTGTCGTGATTGAAATATGCTGGGATGTGCAAATCTTGGCAAAAAATACTGAAATTCAGCAAACGAATGCAAGTGTTTATAAGCCACGCCTTCCGAGTAGGGGAGCCAACCATTTTCAAGAAGCATAGGACTATAACCAGGGTTTATTACCCTATTTTAACTATGGTTCTCGTTCCCTAGCCGGCACCATGGAGGGATAAGGATAGAAATTACTGGATAATACATTAAAGCTCACTCATTGGGCTCACGAAATACCATTTATTGGTTTACCGTAATGCATCGAACACCAGAAAATATTTTAATCAACTAACCGATGGCCATAGTGTAGTTTGATGCTGTGCTTGTCCTTGCGTTGAACCGGTTTGTACATTTTATCAAACTCGATGACAAAAAGATTTTCAAATAAATTTTGCCGATCTGAGAAACAACAAGGTGATGAAGAATACAAAAATTTTAAATTCGTGATTTGGATATAATAAGCCACAGACACATTGAGTAGGTATAATTCAATGTTTAACAAGAGAATGCTTATGATAATTGAAATTTTTCAAAAATGTATCGCCTTTTTAGATTTTGAAATTCTACCAGAAATATAAGTCTCAATGTTTTTATTTTATTGTGAAATTGCACAATGATTAAAGTCTAAATATCAAAAGATCAAGCTGATTTTTAGTTTATTAAGTATGTTCGCTTACACTCAGTGCAATGAAACATTTTGTTCATTCGTTCACGAGTCCAGCAGAACTAATATCAATATTGAATTTAATGACCTTTTAGGTCTTAATTGGAACACATTTGCTTCTAACCAAGGTTGCAAATACTAATTTCAGCTGAAACAATGTTTTTTTTTTATTATGAAATAATTGGATGCTATGATCATATTTTGAATTGGTTAGATACAAGAAGAGGTTGCAAAGAATGTGTTTGACATATTAAACCTGTTTATTTCACTTACTCACTCAGCGATCAGCAAATCGCTGATTGTGACTCATAGAAAGCAAAATTAACAGGTTTTATGTTTCAAACGCATACTTGGTAACCTCTTCTTGTAAGTTACAAGTAAAACATGACATTATACCATTTTATTATTCCGAAAAACATTATTTTAGCTGAAATAAGTGTTTTCAATCTTGCTTCTAACCATCATCTCTCAAATAATGCCCTGTTCACATGAATTAGTTTAATCAAATGATGGCCTTTTAAAATAAACCCTACGAAACTGCCATTAACCTACATTAATGAATATTTAATTTCTTAATACCGTATAGGCTCGAAATCTGGACACTTTTAAAAGTTGTGCGTAACTTTTATCATGGTCGTTCAGAATCATCTCACCAAATTATCATCCCAGTAGCATATTTGTCGCAAATCGGTGAAAGTAACTTCTATGTGACTATTTTTGTTAATTCAGAACCATAATTTTTAATCACCAGGACAAAAAAAAATCTGGCACGTTTTGATTTTTCTAAAATCATTGTAAAATATATCAGAAGTCCAAATCAGTTTTTCTTAGATTCCCGGTAAAAATAAATGTAAAACTATTTTTTTTTTCATTCCAAGATGAACTAAATGAACATTACTTTAAAGCCAAGCTTTTGCCATGTTGGCTTAGATTTTTTTAAGTTAAGGAGAAATAATATTTATTTACATTTGTATATTTTTTCCATTGTTTTGTGCAATGAAATTCAAAGTGTTTTTTTTTAATTTCAGGGCGGTCAGCTTCCCCTTGAACACTTGTTAAACAATGTTTTTGTATCGCTTACTATTACTTTTTGTTTACAACATTTAGACATTTGCAAACGGTTTATTATACACTTGTTTAAAGGAGTATGGAGGCGAACCAGCCCCAGGCTGAAAGCCTCCCTAATAAAGATAAATCAATCAATCAATTGTTTAAAGGCATATACAAATAAATCATATAGACATATTTTCAAATGCATAAATTAATTAAACAATATTTAATCATTGATAACAATTAAAAAATTTAAGATTTAAGAGTTTTGGATCTTTTTTATAATATTTATTTTGAATTTGAGAAAAATGTATATATTGATTTGGAATGATTGATCAATTAATCTATCTTTGCATCCTGGAGTTCCAGTACATGAATAAAAAAATATAATTAAAGTAATATGATTAAATAGCGCGAGAAATTATTTTCGATTCAATGTATTTCATTGATTTATCTGATACATAGGGGAAATGTCTCTAATGTTGGCCTATGGATCTAAGATTGGGCCCATCGCTAAAAATCTGCTATTTATTAATTTTATCTAGATGAACGCGTTATTGGGACGTTACTAATGTATATTTTTGGTTGCTATTGAAAATTTAGTCGATTGCTGAATTTATGTATGGGCCCAAATTAGGGACACTTAGGCCGACATTACCTGCATTTCCCCTATTATCCTTTTTTGGCACAGAGTTTTTCTATAAAACATAATTTTGATAGTTGGTAGGAAATATCAACACGAAGCTACTTAAATTCAAATATCTCTCCCTTTACCTTAATTACCACCAATATTTGCCACGATAGTTATAAATAATAATATTTTGAACGACAAATGTTCAGAAATAATTACCTAAAATAAGATTTTTATTGAAAACTTTTTTTCTTTCACCCAAAATAAAACAAAGTGCCTGTTAGGTGACCGAAAACTGATATTCTCTCGATTTAATCTGGTTCTGTATGTACAAAAATTTCTGCGCTTGGTCGATACCTATAAATAAATAAGCGGCAGAACATTTATTCTTCAGCAGCACTCTACGTCGTTTACCTACAAAAGCTATAGCTGAGATACTGTACCTGCGCGTAATAAAAATTGCAATCAACTTTATTAACATTACCAGACGATGTGAGCGTACTATGTTTTCCATAGATCTGGAGATGAAAGTCAGATACATTGGAGTTTCTCGTTAAGGAATTATTCCTCTGTTGGATGACAACGGAAGCTCAAAGTTGCTGAAATAAACCTAAAATATGATCGTTAATTACCTAAAGCATTGATTTTTTTTGTCAAGGAACCAGTCAAACTAATCATACGAAATTTATGGACAATGATGGAGGTTTTAGATACATTGTTATTCAAAATTATAAATTAATTTAGAGGGTTAGCTGAATTGTGAGAAAACAAAACATTTAGCAATTCATAGATTTTCTTACATGCATGATATAGGGTTGGTGTTTAGAAAGGTTATATTAATATTCACGCTGCTCTGATAGCCTGGATGGAAACTCAGAGCTGAATAATAATTGGAATGCTTGTCAGGAAGAAGCAGAAAACTTAAGCCTCTAGGACCCAAACTTAGGGAGAGAGTGAGAGTAGGCACAACCGTTGGAGAAAAGAAAATGAAAAAAGCAAGACTTGAGTACCCATGTCAAAAGATTTGACAGCTGACTGGAACATGAACAGCCATCCCACTCTCCGCAGTAGGGAAGCGACAAAAAAGAACACCGCCCTGTATCCAATATACGAACTATGGATTTGGATGCGGTGGTAGATAATCGAAAAAGAAGAACCTGACTCCAGAGGGGGAAAACTTTGAGACAGGATGAGGGATTCCTTCTCAAACTTTTTTGTACTCGTCTTAGGTTGCCAACTAGATTGAAGCCAATTTTCTGATGAATAAAAATGTGCTCTTTTACCCTTCGCCATCTAAAATGAGGGAATAGTTGATTTGAAATTCAGAAAGCAGTTTTTTAGGGTTTTATTTGAAATGCCGCTTGGAATGATGAATAAGCAATTACAAACCCATTCTGAACGAGGTCTACTATACATGAGTGTGTTGAAGCATTCAATAGTATAGAGAAATAAAGATTCATTCAAGGAAATAGACGTAATAGGCCAGTTAACTGGTTTTCATCATAATTCAGTTAACCAACACGCCACAAATTTAGAAACTGCACACTTAAGAACTACGCCATAGTTTTTCAGTTAGGAAACTATTTCAATGCAAGGATGCCAGTCCTTACCTTACTTTATTTTTAATGCATAAGGTAAAGAATAGATGCCATCATTTTTGTAGGACGAGTTTTTACACCCAATTAATTTTCATTAAGTTTTTGCGTTTCCCTTTTTTGTTTTGAATATATGAATAAAAATATATACATTAAGTTTACTCGTGGTAGTTCTTTATCAGAGAAGGCAGAAAAAATAAACATCGCATGATGCTCAAACGATAAATTTGAAACAGAAGGCATGAGATATTTAAATCCTATTCTATCTTGTCGTTTATTGGATTGTCCATTTTCCAGTTAAATTAATTAACAGTTCATATTTTCTGTTTCATCGGGGCATGATTATTTTCCAATAGAAGGTATGCAAAGATTTGATAAATATATTTCTTTTTTTTTTCTAATTTTCTTCCAGAACGAAAACGTGGTCGTCAAACGTATACGCGATACCAGACGTTGGAACTGGAAAAGGAGTTTCACTTTAATCGTTATCTGACCAGGCGGCGGAGGATCGAGATTGCCCATGCACTGTGCTTGACGGAGCGCCAAATCAAGATCTGGTTCCAGAATCGGCGAATGAAATGGAAAAAAGAAAATAAAACAAAGGGTGAACCAGGATCGGGCGACGAGAACGACATGACACCGCCACAGTCTCCGGCGTAAATACTTGTGCTCATCTCTGGCTAGCTTATGAATGATGTTAGTGACTTTTGTAATATGAATTTTCCTCTGTTTAGTTAAATCAAGGCGCTGTACAGGTTTTAGTTGCGAGACTAAAAATCACCAGATTTTTTTCAATGCTACATAGTCGCATATTTCCATTGCAGTACTATAAAAAAAAACCAAACCATTTTTGAAAATTATTTGTCTTACCTACCAAGCGTACTCTACGATCAAAATTTCAACTTTGTAGAAAACAGTCTACTGTAAACGATACCGATGATGATGATGATGATTAATTTATTATGCAAGTAAAACGAAAAAAGCAAACAACTCATGTGACCTCAAAACTAATGTTAATTTAGAAATACAAGATCTAAACATTCAAAAATCTGATCACAGATTGAAGGAAGCAGAAAATTAAAAAAAATAATGTGCAATGCAAAAACAAATCTTTTATCCATTTTAGATGAAAGATACATATTTGTGGAAAGATTAATAGATATTCTAATAATATACGTACAAAAGTGCTTGAATATTCATACAAAAAATATTTCCTGTCAACCTAGAAAATTAATGGTTGAGACACTTTTGGTTCCATTTCTTCATTAGAACACCATATTCTCAAATCATACCATTTGCCGAACACGAACCTGTACTCAATTATCTCACATAAAAATAATCCATCGTTATTGATTTCTGTTTCCACTTGTTTCTGAGCTACCGCATAGTCGAGAAATATTTGAACCTCAAACGAAGAAAAGCAGAAGAAAGATAATATCCAAACAAACTATACCAAAGGCAATAGAATAATTTAATTATTGGAGTTCATTTTCATTCTGCATCCATTTATTATTTAAATATCGCAAGGAAGTAACAATCATAATTTATTTGAATTTCATTGTTGTTACTCATTCGTACGTGCCCATATACTGAAACTATGAGAAAATGATTTCTCGTTTGTACAATAGATGTTAATTTACAGGAAAGTAGTCATGAACCCAATAAAAACCGTTCTATTTTCACTTTGATTTGGAAACACAAAACTATATTGGTACAATCAGGCGCTACTAGTAATTTGTAAAATCAAATTGATCAAACGCATATATACGAAAATGAGGTATACGGCTCTTGTAGAATATAAATAGTATGGACAAATATTTAGGAATATTTTCGAAAAACAAACATCCTACATAATGTTATCAGACTATGAGTTAGGGAGAAAAAAAGCTGGTAAAAGTGAAATCATACCATGTGAGGATGTATTTCTTGGCATATTAAAAAAAAAACAGCATGGCAAGATATTGTGATTGTTCTGTTGAATTGCCTGCTATTTTGGAAATCAGGCTAAAAACAAAACAAAAAACAGAAAAGATGCTTCAAATCAGATGATACCGAAAATACGTAAGCAAACAAAGTGAGTCGAGTATTTATAATTTTTACAAGTCTAATTCACTGATGAAAATAGAATATACGTAAGAGGAAACTCATGACATTAGCCATTAAGGATTGTGTAATTACTGAAAATACAGATAGAATGAATGATGCAAGTCCCAAAAATTTTAAGCAAATAGACAGTAAAAATTAACAACAAATGATGATGATAACGATGTACGTAAAATATATTTAACCATAATCGGTAAGGGATAATTTGCAAAACTAAGACATAAATAAAAAAATTATCTCGTTAAAACACAAATATGTTATGAGTACATGAGATCTTAAGATACTTGATCATGAGATAATACAGTGTAATAAAATTTGTAAATACCAAATCCACACAGAATGGAAAAATAATAAACAGAAAGATAAAATTATAAAAAAAAAATGTTTTGAATGCCCGCAAGTAAATTGTAGAACAATTGTTGTGTCAGAAAAGGCTCACTGTTATTAAACAGTATGACCGAATCCGCACATTGCCAACTTTTTCGTCGACTATTTTTTGGTCTTTGGTTCGTCGAGAGCCTCACACAACATAAGTTTCTGCGGCACAAACACGAAGAGAAACCGGGGTCCTACGTCCTTGTAGTTGTGATTGAAGAGGGAGAGGTCACTAGTTCCAAAATTATAGATTTGAACTCTTCACTCCAAATATGCACGACTGGGGGCCATTATGAAGTGGGATCTATCCAAGTTTGTACCCGCCTAATCGTGTTTTTTGCCACATTTGCTTCTATCACATTCCGTCTCTGCACCGTCATCAGCAAGCTATACGAAAGTCGACCCGGTAAGCATGAGCAATATAAACACCTCAACACGCGATATCGAAAAAGGAATTGACAAGCGACGCGTGCTCGGTTGTTCCACAATTTCTGCATGGGGTTGCCAAGGTATCCCAAGTTCGATGTTGAAGAAAATCATCCGAAGAAACGCATCGACCAAATCGATCTAGGCACACGATCACTTGTTACCAAAAGCACATGCCTCGGTGGAAACTATATCTTTCTCTTTTCCGCTTTCGGTGCCTTCATACCTTACTTCTCACTCGATTAGTGAAGCCCAGCCTTTCTTTATAGTATTTTTCAGTGCAAGAAGTGCTCTGCGTTAAAGTCTTTTTCGTAAAAAGCCATAACAACAACCGACCATGCATTTTTTGCGACATTATCCTAATGTTCTATTCACAAGTGAAACTTTGTCTCTTCTGTGTATTAAGTTTGACTATTGAACGTAGAATTTTTCTTCGACTGAGAATAGGATCCATATTTCATCGATTGAAATCTAAAATTGTGCTTGTGAAGTGTATTTTTGAATTACCATAAACAAAAAAAAAACAGCATCGTCGACGGCCTTCCTTTAATCAAACAATTTCATCGAACCAAGACTCATCATTTCACAGCTCATCACCGGCATCTTTTCCGACGTTGCTGAAGCAAAAACTCGCATCAGATTACAATCTAACGACCGTACTCGATTGTAATTTCCAAGGTGAAGCATCTCTTTTATCACAATCTCAAACTAATTTTTGTAGATACTGTTCAGTGATTTGAAAAATTGGTGTACACGAAACTATATATTCTGTAATAGCTGTGTATACATAAGAAAAATCAACAGTTAAGGTAAATGATGCGTTAAGTGGCAGCGGTTGAACTGCAATACATTCCTTTTTCAATTTCGTTTTCAGTTGCTGCAAGATTGTTTAAAAAGGCGGTAAGTAAATTTTTACCATTAGCATTTATGTTCAAAAAATGTGGTCTTGCGTCCATGTGTTGGCCAAGGTTATTAAGAAAAGCATTTAATCATAAATTTTAAATATCTTTAATTTGTGGCGAAGATAATGTTTGTGATATTAGCGTTTATTTTTGATCGGTCTGATTAGAAGGGCATGACAATTTTCATTTAAAAAGCTGCATCATCATCGACATTATTCAAAAGTGATGTACACAGTGTAGCTGTTACACTTAAAATGGTGAATTTTATAGTTTTTGAAGCCAATGTCAAGTCAATGCGTAGAGCATTTCCAAGCCGTTGGTACAATTAATGATATACCTAAAGTATGTTTTTTGTGTTCAAAATCATGACTGCTTTTATTAATAAATAAATATTTTAATATGAGATTCACTTGTAAGGTTAGATTATAGTTAGAAATGGAGGAAGAACATCAAGTTGGGGATATTCAAAAACTGGGAATTTCTTATGTTTTGCTCTGATCAAATAAGCAGGCAAAGTATTATCGTTCTTTCTGAGTGATGGTAATCATGCAGGATAAATTATTTTCTTCCATGGTCATCATAACCAACGACTGGTTAGAAATCGCATGAACTCATATTTACAAATACTGCGTATAAATGACAATTTAATTAGCTTGACTAGAGGCCGCATACAACGTCCATTTTTTCTCAGTATCAGACCGCAATTAAAAAAGCATTAAGGTACAAGCGAGTTATTTTCTTCTCTCCACACTCGTTCCATATCATTCAATCTTTTTTGCTTATTACCCTTCCGCTTAGTCTACAAAAAAGTGAGCAAGACACAAAATAATAAGTGTCTCTCGTTTCATACTCCATCCCAGTAACCAAGTTACCTTTGTAGAGGTTAATTTTTGAAAGTTTGCTAGTAACAAAATACTAAATTAAAGCAATCAAATGAAAAAAAAAAAACGAATTCTAATACTATTAGGGTATTCAGAAATTCGATCAACATATGCATTGAACGCTAACTATTTATAGTATCATGTATACGACCAACTACTCCTTAGAAAGTCTCTTAGCAAAAGCAGAAGTTTTTTTTTTTTCATTTATTTTCATTCTCTCATTCTGGCGAGTTTTCCGCTTTGACTCTACATTTTTTTCCTGGCAGAGCTTTCCACCGTTCGTATCTATTTATCTCATGTAGGTCTCTTGAGCGATATCCAAAGCGGAAAACTTTCTTCTGAAACATTTTTCTAGTTACATCCCGACAACGTTTGGCTTCTGCAGGTTTTACAGAGCGTTGGATATGGTTCTGATTCTGACATGCCCGTCGTCCCTCGGATGGCGAACTCGCTGAGCGTAACCGACCCAGTACCATAACGTTAACGATATAGGAAGAGAAAAGGTGAAGCGAGAAAAAATGAGTCAAGCAAGAAGATGACTTTTTTCACTCCATCCGCCTCCGGTATACACACTGGGAGTGGAAAAGTGCAAAATAAAATATACACCCAGCCCCAACAGCATTAATCCGAATGACATTTTCAGTTTTTCGCTTTCCGTTCTTTCCAATCCATCAATGTCAAGGAGAAAAAATGTTACTATGTATTTTCTATAATATAGAATAATTCTTTTGCCTTGGTTTTCCCTTCGATCAAATTTTTTCTATCATGGTTGGGCATTCGAAATGAAGGAAAATCTTCACCACTCTCTTGCAAACCCCCGGTACTAGGAGTTATCCATCCATCTATTCATCCACCCATCGCTTCGTTGTCGTAATGTACAATGATAACAAAATTCGAGCACTGCCAAGCTGGTCCCTTGATGGCGTCTGAGGCTGAAGGCATTTTCTGTGACGGAAATCCATCAACTTGAACGGAGGGTCCTGTGCGTGTCAGTATATTTAACTGCCAAGGAAACCAATCACAGGCAATTCTGCCCGCCACACCGCCTGTCACCCTAAAATACAAAGCGAGTTTTCTTTTCGGTTTAGTGACGAGTGATTTTCATTAGCTACGTTCCTGAATAAATAATGATGGAGATAGAGAATGGAAAAGCGCTGGCTGTCGCGTTCCCGTGGAAAAGTTTACAACCCCTGTATTTAGGTTGGTAGAATTAGCTTATCAAATATCACCGTTTTGAGAAGGCGGTCTTTCAAAACAAGAAGAGGTATTCGTTAATTGAAATAATTGTGGAAATGATTAATAATGAAACACAAACAGTTGATTATAATAAACGCCGTTGTCGTCTCTTTCAGCGATGTTGGTAGGCAATGATTAATGCAACGGCTAATGAAAAGTAGTGCTTTTTCTGCTTACTTCTTTTTGTTTGTTTATTATACGTAAAAATTGTACGCTTGATTTAAATATTTTATAAACATCCGAAAATACAAAGAATCGAATTTCCCCATTGTAAAGTGTTTTTAATCCAAAACTCAACAATTTACAATTTATTTTTATACATTTTCATTTACAATGTTTTCCCTGAATTTTCACTAGGCTAGTGTGAATTTTCCGTGAAAACACAAAGTGTGGCTCTACGGTGCGAACATTTTGATCGGGAGAACAATAGCATTAATCTATCTATTTTCAGATGGATTTACAGAAAATTCAGTCGAAAGTTCTGTAAATTTCCGTGGTTGTATCTTTATCTGGGGTGGCACTACTTAAAATTTTCTCCAGTTTTGGTAGTCATGGTCTATGTGATTTAAATGGGTAGTGCCGAAAACTGGAACGATTGTGTATATGGAATTGTGCCACAATTGGCTCAGTCTTCCTACTCCAGATACCAAATATCTCTGATATATCTCTACTTCCATAAGTGTCTAAAGAATGGTGGATAAAAGGGGAAAGATTCTAGCCAGGGATGGTCGAGGTAAACGATTTGGCTGTAAATGAACTGTAAATTATATTAATAAGAGTATCCAAACGTAAAGAAGTCGGACAAGTGTGAGTACTTATTGTTTTTGCGGATGGAGTTTTAGTCGGTATTCTTTTTTATGTATTTCTTGATACCTGGTTTTTGCTAGTACAATTTGTGGTCAGCATTCTTACTATCAAAAACCAGGCAACTAGGAATTGGGAAAAAGAAATACCGGCTAATACTCCTTCCGCAAACAACTGTACCTCTCTGCACTTAAATAGAATACTTTCTCAATGTAATATGATTTTTAAATTTGTTGTTTAGCGGACTGTTAAACATCCATAATTATTGTGAGAAAATCGTTCCTGCACAGTTTATTTTAGTTATCGATAATAATTAAACTTATACTATAAAAGCTTTAAGCCATGGACATGGTTCTTCCGTCCCCATAATATATTGTTTATTAATAATTATTTTTTATTGTTTATATGAGTTGAAATGTTTAATATGCAGACTATAAAAAATGTTGTCGTGACCCAACGGAGTGGAATTCGTAGCATGAAATTAACAGAATGGAGTAAAGGGCCAAACAAAAAACCACGCTAGTTTTACTACGTAGACAAGTAATTTCATATAGTTTTTCAGCTGAAATATAACGCTAAACGGGCATTTGGATAAAATTGGCCTTTTTCCCACTTGCACTGAAAATTTCATAAGAATATCTTTAAATTTAAAGACACGGCGATTTTTTAATCTTAATTTTTTATGTCAGGCCGAATCGGGTAAGTAATAGAATGTTCCATAGACCATAG